ATTTATAGTAGATTAATAAAAAAATATAATAAAATATTGTTTTTTCACATAAATATAAATAAAGTGATATATAAATATTCATAAATCATTAAACATGTTGTCATAAAAGTATTATTAATCTGATTATTTGGAGTTTGGACTACATAGCATTCACATAATAGAGTATATTTATGTTAGCTTATGTGGTCCTTATCACTTTGGTTAGGTATGTTCCGAAAATTAGATTTTTTAGGTACTGATCATGGATCCAATGGAAGTTTATCTCATAAATTTGAAATGCACGTGTACAAATGAGATTTATTCCGATTTTGACTGCAATATTTATTTACTCGAACCGTGTACAATTTAGATATTGGTTTTAAAGATTAATCTTGTTTTAAGGTTGATTTGATTTTAATTTCATACAATGTTTATCTTATCATTCTGTTAAAAATAGATTCACAATTGCACTTCTCTTATGCAACAAAATACACATTAATAATGGTTTATCATAGATAATATGTTTTTAATTCCGATTGTATCTTGCAATTTAAAATAATATTTTGATAAATACATGCTTAGATTTACAAAATTCTGCTACCAAATGCACCGCGAGAGTTACCAAATGCAAGCCAATACCATGTAAGATAAAAATTTTGGATTGCATGATACGAAACTGAGATTTTTATAAGATAAAAAAATATAGTATTGTATGATACGTACTTCGATATTTTCTAAATTATGTTAACATTATTTCTTTTTTAATTAGGGAATATCATAATACGATAAATTATAATACACTTTAATTGATACTAAAGTATCCAAAAATTATGAAATCCTTCATATAAGGAATTATTAGATGCTTGCCGATTTTGAAATTTGAGTTGCCAATTTTTATGACTTAGAAATTTGCATGGTTGACTTTGAAATTTGATTTTTAAAAAATCCACGATATCAGGCAGCATTTATTGCTGCCGGATTTATATAAAAAATAGAAAAACATATTTTAATAAAACTTTCCGAAAAAGGAAAGCAATTAATACTGACCGGATTTTTTACCAAGATTTGACTTACTATTTTTAAAAAAGGTTATTCCTAACATATATACATATATGTGGATATAGATTATTTCATTCTATAAACTCCCGGTTTTATAAGGATACTGCTATGTTAAATTAAAAGGTATTTAACACGTAAATCCGGTTCGTAAGAGAAAACGTAAAAAAAAAGGTCCCAAAACACTGAAACAATATAAATTTATATTTAATTAGGCCTACAAAAATCGATACACAAAATCACGACTGATTATAAAATATGTTTAATTTTAGAATTCCAAAAAAAATAATGGAATTCTTTCCAACCAATAGATGTCATATCAAATAGTAACTCTATGATTATGTTCTTCAATTTTAATATTTCAATTTTTTAGATATTGAATTTGAAATATAACCAAATCCGTCCTCATAGGAAGTTTAAAATTAACCATATTTGTTGACACACGTGTTTAATAAATCTACATTTATATTTTAGATTATGTGTATTTTGAAGGAATAAATTCTTTCATTTAAGGCATCATATTTCTTTAATCCGTCCAAATTTATATTCATATCTTTAAATTTTGAATTTGAATAGAACACGAATCTAGTGTAAAATATCCTTTAATAAATAAATCAGACTCCACTCTAAGATTTGGTATTTTTAAAAATAATAAAATCATTAATTTAGGCAATGATATGTGATACATATATCTAAGTCTATATACATCACATTTTAACATTAAACCATTGGAAATTTAAATTTGCAGACTAAGATATTTAGAATCTGTGATTTAAACAAAGAAAATAAAAATTTTAATTATTTTTTTTATTTTTTAATTAGCCGAATTTTTTTTATTAAAAAATAAAAACTGCCAAATATGTAAATTCTATTAGATGATTTTATGTTTATAAAAGTTTTAGATTTTGTGAAAATAAAAAAGGAACAGTCCGATTATGTTAAATCTATAAGTAACAATTGTATTAGCCATGTGTGTCTCCCGTTAGTTCATTCCCTGTAAATATGATTATTTTTATAAATCTTACTTATAAAATAATTGGGATAACAATTTGTAAATTATGTATTATATTCATAAAATTATTAGAATTAGAAAAGTATATTTGTAAATTTTATTCGGTTTTTTGGGATTCGAAGCGGCATACTCGATTTATAGATAAATTATATATTCATACTAATTCATTACATTTTGANGCACCTTGAATTGAAATAATTTTGTTTTCCAAAAAAGCTACAGCGCATTACTTTGAATTGAAATAATAATAAACTAATCACATTCGTTCAGCCGTAAATCTAAAATGGACAAACTCCACATGTTACTGACAACATTTAATTTAATATTGTACGTGTTTTTTAAAAATAAAAAATAAAAAATTTCCCTTAATGGCAAGTCATTAATGCTGATTGAGTTTGACCATTAAATTGACCTGCCATTTTTAAAAAATAGTAATTCTTATTATATATATGTAGATTATTATTATTATTATTATTATTATTATTATTATTATTGATGGGTCTACTCTCAGATCTAGAGTGAACCGGTGTTAATGATCTCAGATCTACTTGAATCGCCTTCGAACCGTTGTTAGACCGCAACAACAAGTGCAAGAACTCAACGCCGGAAGTGTTTCATGCGTAGAGCTCCGACGCTCAAGTCATTATGTGAAAGAGATTAAAAGAAGCTGCTCCGAGAGCTATAGAGGAGAGTGTGAATGAATGGAAGTTAGGGTTTAGGGTTACCTCACCTCCTTTATATAGGAGAAAACACTTACTTGAAGTACCCAAAATGCCCTGGTCGACTCGTGTGAAATGTCTGGAATACCCCGGTCAGTTCGTCTCCCCTTACTGCTGAGTCACCACAAGATTTCCTCTTATCTATTGGAGGATAAGAGACTTCAAGAGATACCACAAGTGTATTGAGTCGTCAGTGTGTTTCGCGCCTCGAGGCGCAAGGAGTCGACCTCGAGTGCCAGGAGGTCGACTTGTGATTTTCTACATATTCGGAGGCTGCGCTCTTGTTAGTCTTCTTAAGTGGAAGTCGACTTTCTGGGGTCGACTGCGTGAAGTCGACTTCTGGGAGTCGACTTGCATGGATTCAGCTTTTCTTCGTATCCCGTGAAGAATCGACATTGCCGAAGTCGATTTAAGCATGTCGACTGGAACATGTCGACGTGTGGTCGATCTGGACGGTCGTTCGGTCGAGTGAAAGGTTCTTGGGCCAGTATATCATAATATGACTATATCAATTATTATTATTATTATTATTATTATTATTATTATTATTATTATTAATGCAATTGTAAGAGGTGTGGTTATACCACTAAATCCAATTAACTTATTAGAAAAAAAAACTTACTGATGCAGAACAAATAATTTAAATTTTTTTTATCATTTAATGTGAATTACAATTGGTTAGCTTTCGGAATCACTATTATATAATAGAATAATTAAAAAAATATGATTACACTTTAATTAACTATTATATTAAATATTCAATTGATTAGATTTCAATTATAGGTTTTATGAAAATAAAAATAAAATAAAATAAAAACTATTACTGGATTGTAACATAATAAAGGTGGAAAACTAATATAATTTTATTTATTTTTTTGCTAGCAATTATATGTATATAAATATAGTTTTATGATTACTAATCAAATTAATTAATTAGTGAGTTGTTTATAATGTTAACTAAAAGAAAAATACATTGTAACGGTTTGGATTAATAAGAACAATTTTAGACAGGAAAATGATTGAAAGTTTTATTTATTAGGTTTTATATGTATTGTACAACTTTATTAGCTTGTGAACAAAGTTATTATGTGGAAATATGATAGTAATCTTCTATTTAAAGGCAAATATTGTAATCCCGGTTAGTTTTTTTCTTTTTTCTTTTCTTTTTTTTCTTGTTAATGAGTTTAGAATTGGTGAAAAGGAGCTGAACAAAGCGTGTGCCGAAAAATCCAAGCAATAGTTCGGACTTCGGAGGATGCACAGCTAACTCAGTCGAGGGTGGGTCTTCGAGTTTGAAGCTTCCGACAAAGAAAGTGGGTCGTGCCATCAAAGAAAATATTTCAAAAGTTTTATGCACTTTCTTTGTCGGCGTTCCGACAGTATGACCGATCAACGGACCGTCGGAAATGAACTTTTGTTGTGCCACTGGTGTCGGGAACCGCATTTTCCGGTTAACGTTCTCGACCAGTAAGCTTGTTGCAAGCAAACACACTCTTCAACGAACAACACAGTGGTGTATATCAAGCTCCTTTTTAAGCCGAACAAACTTCAGTACATTACAGATTATTTATCACAAAGCGCAGGGGAGTGGACAAAACAGCCGCTAGGGGCCCGCCAATGATAGACAGGGCCTGCCCGCTTTAGCACATTGTGGTCTGGTCCAGTACTATCAGGCCCGTCTTGTAGTGGATGGCAAATTCTTCATAGTTGTTCTTGAACATATCGGCTCTCAAAAAAAATTGAGAGGGAAGGTATTATTATTATTGGCCACATATGTATATGTGATTCAAGTCGATAATGACAATCAAGACTATGATAATTGATTATGTAACTACCACAATAAAAATTTTGGACGGAGTTGAATTTAGGAGACTACAGTTTCCCATATCAAGGATTCCAGAAGAATCCACCACTCAAATATTGTGTTTTTATCTGAAACTAAGAAGTCTATGAAGTTTACTAAAACTGTGTGTAGGAAGCTTGGCTATTAAGATAGATGGCATTTGGAGAGTCCAAATGGTACTAGAGGTGGGTTATTGCTGCTGTGGGATAATCTCATTGAGATCAAGTAAATTGTAGGTAATGAATTCTGTCTTCAAGTGGAGTTAAAAGGGGCTGGGATGTCTGACTGGGGATGGTTCATCTTTGTTTATCTGAGTACGGATAGAAGAGAAAGGGGAAGACAATGGGAATTCCTTAAAGACAGTAAAGGGAAGTGAGGAAATAGCTGGTTGATGGTTGGTGACTGGAATGATATAGTCACTAATGAGGAGAAAAGAGGTGGAGTGAGGAGGAGCCTTAGTAGCTTTGTGGGTTTCCAGGAGTTCATTATGAATATGGAGATGCAGGAGGTGGCTCAAATGGGATCTTTCTTTACGTGGGGGAATAATAGAGCTGGAGATGGATATGTGGAAGAGAGATTGGACAAAATTTATGTGTCCGTTGAATGGCTTACTAAATTTCCAAATATGGAAGCCTTGAATTTCTACAGAACAGCCTCAGACCATAATGTCATTCTTTTTTACACTGATAAGGAGCTGGGCAAAAGACACAAAAGATTCCAGTTTAGCAGCTCTTGGGCTGGGATGGAGGGGTACATGAGGCAGTGATGAGTGGATGGCAAGTGAATGTGGATGGGTCAACAATGTTTCAAGTACTAGAATGGCTCTTCTAGCCTGGCATAAACCCATTCAGAGAAACAGTAAGAAAGCTATAGCAGTGCTTACTTTAAGATTGGAGGCTCTGAGGGAGGAAGGGAAAGATAGAGATTGGGGTGAGTGGGGATCTCTTAAATCTGAACTTGATCAAGCTCATCAGGAGGAGGAATGGTTTTGGAGAGTCAAATCCAGAGCATTATGGCTCAAAGCTGGTGACCGGAATTCCAGGTTTTTTCATGCATTTACAGCACAGAGAAGGAGAACAAATTCTATATCTAAGCTCATTACTGGCTCTGGTGCAATTTGTGATACTCAAGAGGCCATGGAGAGACATATCTCAACTTTCTACTCCAATTTGTTCCCTTCGGAGGGGTCCAATGGGAGTGAGAAGCTGCTCCAGCATATTCCTGTTTCTATCTCTGATGCACTCAACAATGATTTGATCAGAGCTGTTGATGAGGAGGAGATCATGGCCACTGTGTTTAGTATGTCTCCAGAGAAGTTTTCTGGAGATGATGGTATGTCTGCCTTTTTTTTTCAAAAGTTTTGGTCTATTGTGAAAGATGATGTGTGTAAAGCTGTGAGTAGTTTTTTTAAAACTGGGCATTTATTGAATAATTGGAAACATACTATTATCACTCTGATTCCTAAGTGTATGTTTCCTGAAGCATTGACAAATTTAAGACCTATTAGCCTCTGTGGGGTCTTATATAAAATCATTGCTAAATTGCCGACTGAAAGGTTGAAGTCTTGTTTAGATGTTTGCATTAGTCCAGAACAAACAACTTTTGTTCCAGGAAGATTGTTATTGGATAATGTGGTTATTGCACAGGAAATTTTCCATTTCTTACACAGACACAAATCTGGTCCAAATGTGTTTATGGCTGTGAAATTGGATATGGAAAAAGCCTATGATAGGGTGAAGTGGGATTGTTTAGGAAAATCATGTGTAGAATGGGATTTCATGGAAAGTTTGTTCAGTGGGTGATCAACTGCATATCTTTTCCTACTTTTTCTTTCAACCTGAATGGCAAAGTGTGTGGATATGTTTCTTCTTCTAGAGGTATAAGGCAGGGTGACCCTTTGTCCCTATACCTCTTTATTTTGGTATCTAAAGTTTTTCTGCCTACCTGAAATCTAAGATCAGTTCTGGGATGTTTAGAGGGATTAAACTTTCTAGGGATGGGCCTATGCTATCACATTTACTCTTTGTTGATGATGCCCTTATATTTTGCAAAGCTATTGTCGCTCATGCTGAGTAGCTTTTGGACATCCTTCAGAAATATCAAATTTTTATGCCAAAAAGTCAATCTGCATAAATCATCTTTGTTTCTGAGCAAGAATGGTTCTGAGGGTCTGCAGGCTACTATTTCTTCTATTTTACATGGTGTGGTTGTTAAAAGGTCATCCAGGTATCTGAGATTACCTATGGGGATTGGGGCTTCTAAAATTGACACTTTTCATTTTGTTGTGGATGCTGTGAGGGATAGAATTTATAGCTGGAAGAATACCTTTTTATCAACTGCAGGTAAAGAAACATTGGTGAAGTCTGTTCTTTGTGCTTTACCTGTTTTTGTGATGTCTTGCTTTATTCTGCCTGTGAAGTTGTGTAAAGAAGTGTGCAAGATTGTGGCTAGATTCTGGTGGAATAAGGGGGATTTAAAGAAGCAGAGTTTGCACTGGTTATCATGGGATAAAATGACTGTGCCCAATGATGAGGGGGGCTGGGTTTTCTAGATTTGCAGCTGTTTAACAAAGCTTTGATTTTAAAGCAACTTTGGAGGCTCATTGAGCAGCCAGATATCCTAATGTGCAGAGTTTTGAAAAGCAGATATTTCAAAGACTGCTCTATCTTTGATTGAAAAAATACTGGGGGTGCCTCTTAGCTATGGAATTCATTGGCTACTTTCCTGCCTGAGTTGAAAAAGCAAGTGAGTATTGTGATCAGAAATGGGCATACCACTAAGTTAAATGAGGCCAACTGGGTACTAGGGTTACACTGCAGGAAACCTCAGTTGAGAGTGGAAGTGGATGGGAATTTATTCTGGGTTAAGGATTTGTTGCTTGCAGGTGGAATGAAGTGGGACCCAACTCTGGTCAGAGTTCTGTTTACTGAGGTTGATGCTGAGAAAATCTTGCAGATTAGATCCTTAAATCCCAGAACAACAGATCAATGGCAGTGTTCTTTTTTGTGCAAAGGGAATTTTCAGTGAAGAGAGCCTATTCAAATCTTTTGTCTGTTAAGTTGGGGCTAAGATCAGTGGCTGAATATAGTGCTATGGCTGGAGGGAACAAAAAAGCCAGAAATAGATGCTGGAATTTGAAAGCCATGGGAAAGGTGAAACATTTTATTTGACAGTGTCTTTCTAATATCCTCCCAGTTAGTAGAAATTTGCACTCTAGAGGTCTGGAAGTAGAAAACATCTGCAGGGTTTATGGTGAGGAAAAGAAACACAAGAGCACAGTCTGTTCTTGTGTAGAGAGGCCCGAACAGTATGGAAATTATCCCCAGTCAGCTGGAACAGAGTGCAGAATGAGTAGATGTCTCTCAAGCAATGGTGGTGGTGGGTGGATACTATGGATACAGATGAGTGTGTTGAGGACAGAATCCAGCTCTCCACCTACAGTTTATGGTGGCTGTGGAGAGCAAGAAATCTCTGGGTATTTGAGGGCAAATGGCAATCTGATATCTGGATTATCAAATCTGCTATGATGGACTGGCAGGATTTCAAACTCAACAACAACATTGGCTGATACAGATGCAGATTAGATAGGTTAGGTCTTGTGTCAGTGATCTATCTCTTTTGTATTTTTGTTTGTTATGGTTCTTATGTAGTGTTTGTTTGAGTTTTTGATAGCTGTAAGGGATGTGCTGTTTTCTGGTTTTGATTCATTCAATTTAGCAGTAGGGTGGATTTTTCTGTCATGTATTGTGTTTATGTTTCGGTTAGGGAGAATTTGTGCTGCCCTCTCAGTGTTCTCAGGATTTGGGGTTTTTTCCATGACATTGACCTTTTTTGTCCGTTTTTATTGGAGATTTTTATATTGTTGGAAAAAAAAAAGAATTGAATTTAGGAGTATTTAGATCCAACTTATACATATTTTACAACTTTACAAATTAAACTACACAATTATTTTAAATTCGATTGAAAATTTTTTTATTATAAATTAATAATATGTATTAATAAAAAATATTGAATACATAATTTTTTCAGTAAGTAAAAATTACATTATTTTTTATTTTAAATTTGAATAATATTCTAAATAGGTTATTTTATTTGAATTTATTATCACTATTTTCTTAAGTTCTTTAAAAATAAATTCAAACAATTTTATGAATATCCTAGAAATATTTTTTCAAATACTTTCATAATTCTTCTATTCAAATATCCTAGAAATATTTTTCAAATACTATCATATTTTTTCCATTGGAATATTTTAAAAATAATTTAACAATTGTGCACACCCTGTATTAATATGTAATTTTGTTAGTTATATTTCATGTATATTTAATATTATTTTATTGTGAAAAGCTAAATAACAATATTTATAAATATAAGTATAAATAAAACATAATATATCACAAATAGTAATAAATTATCATTTTTTTTTAATTTTTATCAGTAGTATAAAATAAATGGTAATTCAATGTTTTAAATACCGTACCATACCGGCCGGTATTACCGGTAATACCGGATACCGGTGGTCCGACCGGTACGGTTACACTCTAAATACCGTTTTGGCCAAAATACCAGTTTATAGCGGTTTTATACCGGAAAATAGCGGTTTTACCGGCAAATACCGGCCAAAATACCGGTCAAAATACCGGTTTATGACAATTTTTTTTAAAAAAAATATTTTTTAATATATTTTTATTAATTTATTTATATAAATTGAAAGTTCTACACATAATTTTAATATGTTTATATTGTTATTAGATGTTAATTAATTTTAGTATTTGTTAAAGTTAATTTTGTACATCATTTATATTATATTAATAAATTAATTTAATATATATTGAAATTGGTAAAATAGACGGTAATACCGGTTGAACCGGTTGAACCGCGTCGTCCGATATACTTATCGATACGGTATTTAAAACACTGTGGTAATTACGTTTGCATATGGGTTTGGTTGAGGGGTTGAAGAAAGGAGTCGTGCTCGACCCGAATCCATTTTTAATTTTTGTTTATTTTTTATTGTGATAATTAAAATTCCCCATTTAACAAGTGACTGATGATTGGTTAATTAACATCGTTTTCACAATTATGAAATCTGGTTTTTATTTATGCTATAATCGTTTCACAATTACAAAATCTGGTGACTGATGATTGGTTAATTAACATCGTCTTCACAATCATGAAATCTGGTTTTTATTTATGTTATAATCGTTTCACAATTACAAAATTTGGTTTATATTTATGAGGCTGAGTATAACATACAAAGACAGGTCATTTCTTAATACAAAATTAATTAATTGTTAAGGCAGTTAATTTTAATCATATTTAAGTAAACTAATATTCGATCATTTGCACCATGCACAAATATTATAATAATTATAAATTATGTGTATGTATATAGTATTTATAAATTTTGATGATCTTGATCCATTAAGTATCTTAAAACCATTGAAATTATTATTATTATTATTATTATTATTAATTTATTATTTATGCTATTGTAAGAGGTTTGGTTATACCACTAAATTCAATTAACTTATTAGAAAAATACTTAATGAGATGCACAACAAATAATTTAAGGAAAATTTTATCATTTAATGTGACTTACAATTAGTTAACTTTCGTAATAACTATAGTAGAATAATTAAAATATACGGTTACACATTAATTAACCATTATGTTTTCTTTTTTTTTACCGAAACGATAGAGGATATTATAAATAAAAAACGCACAAATGTGCAAAGTACACAACCCCTAGCTGAATGATACAACAAACAGCTGAAAACTAGGAGGACAGGTCAAAAGACCGCCTAGAACCGACTAGCAACGTTAGAGAAAAAAACTCAAAACAACACAGCACAAACACAACACAAAATACCAAACTACTGTGGAACGACCCCCAACGGAGTAATGTGGAACGACCCCCAACGGAGTAATGCCCGATCTCACTCGGGCTCACAGGGACCAACGGCCCAAACCAAAGAAACAGACCTAAACAACACAAACAACGAAACACACAAAAATAAACTAAAAAAAACTAAACAAAGCATAACAAAACAAATCCTCCCTCAGCAGCTCGGACTAGCAATACCAAGTGGACTTAAGACGACCCCAAGGAAGGTCCACAGCTCGATAAACCGACCCCGAAACTGCCTAATCGCCTAGCTGAGACGGCAACTCGAGCCTCGAACCGCACCCAAAGGCCGCCCGCCCTTCACCGACCGAGAACCAATGTCACTCCCCACACCACCAATGCTCCAAACACAGCCAACACCACTAGCCAAATCCGGCGACATCGGTTCCCCTCGCACCCAGCATCAGAGGACAAGGGGAACGGGAGATCAAAAGATCTCGAGCTCCAGCAGCTACGCATGACTGCCGGCTAGGACCGACGAAAACAGAGGACAAGCAAACTCGCCATCCCACACCACCGCTACACCAGAACCGGCCAACACCACTGGCCAGGACCGGCGCACCGGCCTCCTCTCTGACCACACACCAGGGAGAGAAAACGGAGGCAAGAAAGAGCCTCTGCCCCGACCATACAACTCCGACATGTACGCCACGAGCCACCCAAGCTGCTCCCAACCCCTGACGACCTACCCCGCTCAGAACCACCATAGAAATTGGGACATCGATCGACCTAGTCCCGAATTCGGAAACGAGAAGACCTAGCCTCCCAAACCCCTCCATCCATAGCGTTGGAGAGAGGTGTTCGAACAGGGAGAGAGAGATACGGTGGAGGGCTGGCCACCGGCGAAGCCGGTCAGCCGCTGAGGAGGCGCTCAGATTGCAGATTTATGGAAGAAGACGCCGGCGGCGATTTTTGGGGAGAATGGGAGAACCCTCAAATTGGGGAGTTGTTTGACTAACTTAACTTGAATTTTTTATTTTTATTTATTTATTTTTCACTTATTATAATCATTAACCATTATGTTAAATATTCCATTGATTAGATTTCAATTATAGGTTTTATGAATATAAAATAAAATAAAATAAACAATATTACTAGATTGTAACCGAATAATGGCGGAAAACTCAAATAATTTTATTTATTTTTTTGCTAGCAATTATATGTATATAGATATCGATTTACGATTACCAATCAAATTAATTATTTAGTGAGTTGTTTATAATGTTAATGAAAATAAAAAACCAACATTGTAACGGTTTTTTAGATTAAAAAGAACAAAAAAAATTATAACGATTTTGGGCAGAAAAATTATAGGAGGTTTTATTTAGGTTTTATACGTACATCATGTTAATTAACTTGTGAACAAAGCTATTACGTGGAAATATGTTAGTAATCTTCTATTCAAAGGCAAATATTGCAATTTCTGTTATTTTTATTTTCTTGTTAAAAAATTCAACAATGGTGAAAAAGAGTTAAAGAGAATGTGTGTCGAAAAATCCAAGCGATAGTCTGGAGGATGCACAACTAACTCGATTGAGATCGGGCCTTCGAGTTTGAAGCTTCCAACAAAGAAACTTGTGAACAAAGCTATTACGTGGAAATATGTTAGTAATCTTCTATTCAAAGGCAAATATTGTAATCTCTGTTATTTTTATTTTCTTGTTAAAAAATTCAACAATGGTGAAAAAGAGTTAAACAGAATGTGTGTCGAAAAATCCAAGCGATAGTCTGGAGGATGCACAACTAATTCGATTGAGATTGGGTCTTCGAATTTGAAGCTTCCAACAAAGAAAGTGGGTCGTGCCTTCAAAGACAATGTTCCCAAAGTTTTATGCACTTTCTCGGTCGGTGTTTCGACAATATGACCGGTCAACGGCCCGTCGGAAATGAACTTTTGTAGTGTCGCTGGTGTCGGGAACCGTGTTTTCCGAGAAGGGTGGAGCCGCGGAGGTCCTCGGAAAACGCATGACGACTGACAAGTGGGGCGAGTACATCGTCAATTCCACTGGCATCCCCATCTACACCTTCGCGCGACGACTGCGAGGAGCCAAGAGGGAGGTGCTGCATAATCAGATTTTGGATTTGGGGTTTAGGGGTTAATTTTTAGAATTAGATAAGCTCTGTGGACTTAGTTGCAATATTAAAAACTTATAACTTATTGCATTCCTTAAAGTCAATATGTATTTTATTTATAATTTGAATAACTACAATATGACTCTTGAGTTTTTATATTATAGCCTTATTTGGTAATTACTAATTAGCGGTTAGCTGTTAACTTTAGCTGATAACATTAACTATTTTGACTAGCGGATTGCGTTAACTGTTCTGACCAACTAATTGTGTTAGCAGTTTGTAAAAAAATGATTGATAAAATTAGTTGTTTTTTATCAACCGTTAACATGTAAAATTATATAAGGACATCAACATACTTCATCATAAAGTAAAAAAAGTAAATTTATTTGCATAATAACCATAATTAAAAGCAGGAAAAATTGCATCATTCGTCAACTAATTATATCCGAGTTGCACTTTCGTCCTTTAATTATTATTTTTTTACTTTTGGTACACTATCATTTTTTTTTGGCAATTTTCGTCCAAATCGAGGTTTCGGTGCTCATTTTTGCCGAAAAAGCTGATGTGGCGTACTATCCGACTGGGCGCCACAAAAATGAGCACCGGAACCTCGATTTGGACGAAAATTGTCAAAAAAAAAATGATAGTGTTCCAAAAGTAAAAAAATAATAATTACAAGACGAAAGTGCAATTCAGGTATAATTAGGATATAATTAGTGGACAAATGGTGCAATTTTTCCATAAAAACATAACTCTCCATTCAAGTTGTATCAATATTCAGTACAAAAACATCTCTCTCCATTCAAGTTGTATCAATATTCAAAACAATACATACCATAGCTTTCCATTCAAGGAACATTTTCTAAATTTATGGGTTTGAAGTGCACAAAAAGTTTACAAACTACACAATCAGCTTGACTGAATATTTCTCAAAATGGCAGCAATCAATCAAGAAAACATGTACCACACGCAGTAAGCTTCTTGCAAGCGAACACACTCTTCAACAAACAACACATTGGTCTACATCAAGCTCCTTTTTAAGCCGAACAAACTTCAGTACATTACATATTAACACATGCGTTCGCACGCACAGTTTTTCATGACAGATCATACAATATCATATCAAACAAACACAAGAGATCAAATTCTAACGAGTAGGCTCAAGAACCCGAAGCATACCTGTCCCCACCCTCATCATGAGATCCTCCACACGAACCTTCACCACATCCCTCCTCATCCCTATATCCGCCGCATACCGGCTCGCGCAATACGTCGCGACTGCCGTGGCCGCCATTCCATACACATTATTCGTCACAAAGCGCAGTGGAGTGGACAAAACAGCCGCTAGAGGCCCGCCAATGATGGACACGGCCTGCCCACTTTGGCCCATCGTGGTCTGGTCCAGCACTATCAGGCCCGTCTTGCAGTAGATGGCAAAGTCCTCACAGTTGTTCTTGAACACGTTGTAGCACCCAAACCCGTTGTCGAGCAGGTATCGGGCCCGGTGGACCACTGTGCGATTGTCGTCAGAGATGGCCAGTGTGCAGGTGCCGCCACGGGCCTTGGCAAGGAAGTGGGCCGGGCTGACGGCGTATTCGAATCGGTACAGAATGCCGCCGGCCAAGAAGCAGTCGAGGCATGAGGAGACGACCCCGTGGCCTTCCTCGACCGGAGTGCAGGTCGGGCATGGGGTGTGGGCCCGGGAAGGGCCCGAGCTGATTAGTAGGAGGTCGAGTACGGTGCCCGTGCCAACTTCCTGACCGCGTCTAGTGAAGTGTATGACTTTATTGTCACCGATGTAGATGCCTGTTCTCATGCAGACATCAAATCAGGTTAGGAATGTTACGGTTAAACTATTAGGATACTTTTGCTAGATTGCGTCTAATCCAGTTCAAACATCTGAACAAAGGATACTTTTGCTAGATTGCGTCTAATCCAGTTCAAACATCTGAACATTACATCAATATCGTGAAAGCTTTCTCACAGATGGATATCTGATAAAAAATGCAAAAAGGATATTCTCCAATTTTCATCAATTCCCCCGACCCCCCCCTATATATAATTGCAGAATGCGCTTAGTCTACGTGGCAGCTTTGCATGCTTCGGAATCCTACTTCGTAGTTTGGTTTGGATAAAAAATAATATTATTCTAAATCAATTTTAGGTTCGGACATTCCAAAAATATTGAAAAACTAGCTTGGTAATTTCATAATAGTATGACTAATATAACCTTAAGTTGTATTGGAACCTTTGGTAAATACCTGGTTGACTAATATAACCTTGATTTGTTTTGGAAGCTCTCAATTGGCTCATTAATTTCCATGAAAACCTCAAATTAGCCTAATAAATACATATATTTAATTTTTTAAACAATTGTTGTTATTATTATATAATTTTATAAAATTTATTTTCTTAACAAGTACCCGTGTACTACACGGTATTGTACTAGTTCTTTTGAAATAGTAACACTTACTGAAAGATATGATATCATGTTATGTCGCTAGTGAAAGCCATGTCGTAGAAAAAATTATTGCCTCAATAGTAGAATATGTGGAAGCCTATACGATGAGAGGGGAGGAGCCTCATTAGTCACCAAAGAATTAATGTGGCAACTCAAAATGTATCCAGTTTAATGACAATGCACCTCCGACGAAAGACATTCCAGAACAGATAATGAATCAGTACAATTTTTGGAGAAACAAACAGCTATAGATGAAATGATATTGAACGCACTTGTTCAGAAAATGACAATGCAAAGACGGATCTTTTTCTCTTTCACTTAATGATACGAACTGGTTCACTATCCTTCACAAGCAGTGTAAGTGAACATGGCATTGGTTGAAAGCGTTCAACACAGAGCCAACAACTGGAAGTATGCAAAGAGCTTACAATACTCAAATACCAAATGTTGAAAACAAAGATGCATGTAGAACTTTCTATCAAGGCCATCGTAAACACACCAAATTACTGTTTATATAAAGTCTGACCAACATTTATAGGACGGAATATTCGGTCACACATTCTTTGGCCAAACAAAAGTTCAAGGGCTGAAGCAATTTTCTGAACATTAACTACCAAAGATGGAATAGAAAGTAAAAATTGATAGGATTGGTGTTCTTTCATTCTGTTGAACCTAAACTGCAATTTCTTCAGTTCGTATATTTGCTAATTGCTGGTTATAATTTCAGAACTGTGTAATTGTCGAGGTTGATGATCCACAGGTTGGGTACCTAGCCTAATTGTCCAACCCACACCTAGTGATTTCCAGTAAAAATGAAAAAGTTTCGACTGTCGATCAAAAACAGAAGAGAAGGCATTAGTTAAATTTTGACTAAAAGAAACACAGAGGCAGAGATTATTGTTCTGGCAGACCGACTTCTGATACATTCCACTCTCCAGGGGGCGATAACCAAATTAAGCAGAACCTTATTCCTGTTTCACTTGCAATACTCAATTTCACATAATTCTATTAGAATTTCCCTCAAGCTTTTAAACAATGGCCACATTTCAATCCACACCCTTTACAGGTTTTCCTAGGTTTGTAAAACTAAAATCACGAATCCTTCGCGAAACCCTAGGCATACATTCTATCACCAGCATCTATCAACCCAATCACTGATTTTGAAATGTCCCACATACAGATTCTATGAATTAAAAATCAAACTAACCATGGTGAGCATACACATACGCCGTGCGCCATGAATATATGTGATCCCCTTGTTTGAGGCTGCTCCTATCGATTCTGTGCGTTATTTCAAAAAATCCAAACACATAAACACACACGCACAGCAAAATCAGCCCAAAAAATAGCGAAAAAAACAAGGAAAGAACAATTCAATACAATAACAAAGATATTTGCATAAAGATTAGCAAAAACAATGAATTGTACCTGTTGGAGAGCAGCCCCATTACTGTTATTCGATCTTCTAGGTGTGAATTTGAAGGGGAAAAGGGAGTGTGATCTAAAGGCTTTCAAAGACGGATAAATCGAAAAAGAGGGAGAATATGTTTTACGCGATGAAAAAAACTTGCGTTTCCAAGGCGCGGTAGTGGTGCAGCATTAGTCAATGACACAATTACCCTTCTTGCAATGGCCAAATTTCATATCTTAGCCATTAAGGTATCGTGTTGACCGTACAACTCATATAAATTACAAATTTGATCTTACAATTTTTTTTTTGTATGTTTTCTTACATTATACCAATCATCACTCTCCTCCGATTTTTTTTTTTTCCAATTCATCTCAAACCTTCATATAAATTACAAATTGATCTTACATTTTTCTTTATGTTTTCTTACATTATACCAATCATCTCTCTCCTCCGATTTTTTTTTTCCAATTCATCTCAAACCCTTTCTTGCGCCGCTTCCCTGTGCCTCTCCGCCGACAAGTGTTCTGCACCCCACTACTCTTCCTGCATCTGCACCTCGACGAGCTCCTGACAGGTCCTCTTCCCTTCTCCGGCATGGTGCATCGACTTTTTTAGTTGGCCATGACTGGTTGTAGAAGGGTTCCAGATTGGCGGCGAGTTTCATCTTTATGGGCTCTGGTTTTGTCTTGTGGTGGCCGGGCTGTGGGCGGCTCCTTGCGACTCCACTATCCCCATCCTCTCCCTGGTGTTGGGAAGCGGAGATCCTCCGGCGGGCAGCTTCCTTCTCCAGTTGTGTCCAGGTAGCGGTTGTCGGTTTTTGTTGGGGAGGTTTAAACACCCCGAAAGGGTGGGGAATTAAGGATTGATCCCGAACCTGTAAATAGTCAAGACCCTAAATGGGCCAGAAAAATCATAGTGACCGCGCGTCGCGACGCGACAAATTTAGATTTATAAATGTTTTCCTCAACTAACCTCTACTAACTAGTAGTAGTGGCGAGTAAGGGTCGATCCCACTTAGATTTATAAATGTTTTCCTCAACTAACCTCTACTAACTAGTAGTAGTGGCGACTAAGGGTCGATCCCACGAGGANATATATATATGTACATATACACATATTAAATTTAAATATAGACATATTTTCTTTACAAAATAGTCTAGAAAAATCTTTTTTACACAATGTTAAATTCAAATGTTCTTAGATATGTTTTCCTTCTAAAATTGTTTAGAAAAGTTGTAGATGACTTCACATCTTTCAAAAATAATATAGAAAATTTTGAATACTTTTACATATATACTAATATAATATTTTAGGTATTTTTAATATTAAACATGCAAATTTTATATTCTCTTATATAAAATAATGTAAATTTCATATTTTCTTATACAAAATAGTTTTATATTGTTTGACCCCGAATCTTTAATTTATAATTATTAAGTATTGTTTATCCTCCTCTTTACTTTATAATTATTTTTTTTCTTTCTCTTTTTAAATAGGATCAATAGTAGTTTCCACTTCCGTCAGTGACTCAAACTCGAGATCTATTTATAATATTGTTAATTTAATATTGTTCCCGTGCATCGCACGGGGTACACACTAGTATGTATAAACTAAGTTAGATAATTGTACCATATTTTAAAATTTTGATCATTAATAAAACTAAATAGTATAAACTATTTAATAACATATGAATCATTGTATTGATTGCATAAAATGTAATGAACAATATAACTTTTATGATTTTGAGAGATCATGACCAATTAATTAAAAGAAAATATGTTAAAATTATTATTGTAACAATTGTTTATGTAATTTTGACTATATCATTAAAACCAATTACCTTGTTTTTTTATATGTAACTTCCATATATCAACTAGTATGAAATATAATTAGTTAATAGAAAGTATTATGAGATAGGATAGTTAAAAAATAATTATATTATCATTTAATAAATGTAAAATTTATTGGTTTTTTTATTATAACTAACCTAAAAAGGATAAAAAAAAAAAGTTATCATAAATTCTTTGCCCGCTATTATATATATACATTTTGTACAAATCTATTTTTTTAAATGGACTATTTTTTTAAAATATTTTTTTTAATTCTCTTTTTTTTTTATAAAAAAAAAATCATCTTTTACTTATACATTTTTCTCTTTTAAATTCAACTTACTTATAATTTCACTCTTAGTTTAGTACCAAACATGAACTAATTATTGAAATTAACTTTGGCATGTAAGAGTCTATTTAAAAGTGTTTCAAAATAAGCACTTAATTTACCTAATGAGAATGTTAGAAAACAAAAACACATGTTATAATTTTAATAATTGATTGGCCAGAAAAAGTATATATTTTACATATTTATTAGAGTATTCTTATATACTTAATTTTATCGCACTAATATGTTTTTTGACTTATTTATTTATTTGATGGATTCAAGTGTTATGATATATTTATGATTTATTTTTAGACTATTAGAGTATTTTTATGGACGATGAGACATCAGAGGAAGATTTGAAGCGGCAGTACGGGGGCATCCTCTACCAGCCCAATATTGGCCCAACACCTTTTCAATTTCAGGCCCAATAATAATATATAAATAAAAGCTCAGGGCCTTACATAGGCAAATTAGTGGAATAAGTTGGGCCTAAGTTGGGCCTAAGTTGTTTGCTAATATGGCCCACTAAGAGGGAAAATTTTATGTATATACATGGATTCAACAAATATTGTAACATTACCAACAATTACAAATTTTTTGCAAACTTACCAAAAGCATAAAAATTATTTGTGATAACGCAAGATTTCTATTACTCCAAAAAAATCTATCAGTATCCTTAAATTGCGGTAGTACAAATTAAAGAGTTTACGCTGTATATCATTATCCTTAAATATAGAATCAGTATCCGTAAAAATAGAATCAATAATTATCCGTAATTATCCTTAAATTATCTGTCTTGAATCAGTATCCTTAAATATACCTTAAATTCATTCTGTTACTCCAAAAAAATCGATCAGTATCCCTCATCTAAAACTACGGCGTCGCATGCCGGCCGAAGTGTATATATTAGGTATATTTTATGTATATGTGGGTTCTGAACGAGATCCTCAGTTCACGGATCGAGTGTATATCTTAGGTATATTTTATGTATATGTGTGTTCTGAAATTGATTTTGAGAAACGATTAAAACTCGAGTGTATAATTAAAGTATATTTTATGTATATGTGTGTCCGGATCTGTAGTTTGCTTGAATTACAAGAATTTTGAGTGTATATTTCTTGTATATCTTATGTATATTTCGAGTGTATATTATCCTCTGACAAGTTTTTCTTCAAAACGCAATCGACATACATAATATATACAGAAGATATACATAAAATATATAAGTCCGAAAAATATACGAAATAACCTGGTAATTTATCTTTTCGTAATTCTTTTTCGTTTCACGATCAGACTTATATGAAAACAATGTCTTCCATAAAAAATTATGTCTCTTGTTTTTTATTTTTAAGTTTAATGTTCATTTAAATGTACATGAATTGATAGTTTTTTATTAATGATATATGTGTCGTTTTTTTTATTAATGGTATATGTATCGTTTTTTTTAGTATATTAAAGGTATATGTTTTTTTTACATATTGTTTATTTTATTTTTATTCTTTGTAAACAGTTTTACCAAAAAATAAACCATACATATACACAACAAATCCATAAAAAAAAACATAAAAGTATATATATAATATATAAACATATTATAACAAGTTACTTATACTCAGTTAATGTTGCAATAATCTTCTAATATACTAAAACAACAAAAAACAACAAATTGCTCCTTTGCCAATTTCGTTTTCAACNATTGTACATATTCCTAACATGTACATACATTGGACATATACTACCTATACACGGTACATATACCGAAACATATAACTGTACATATTACTAAGGTGTACATATACTGTACAAATACTGGATATATACTACCTATACACGGTACATATACCGAAACATATAACGAAATTCACAACATCAGGAAGGACCCACTCCTTCATATCTGAAGTGCTTCTGTTTTCCTACAATAACCATAATTAAGCTGGTTCAAGAACACAGAACCCATTTTCCCACTTCACTCAAGTACTGAGAACAACATAATACCAACGAAAAGAAACAACCAAAAAGAAGGGGAAAAAAAAAAGTACCAGCCTGACACATGTGAATCTAAACAATACAAAACCACAAACCTACACAGAAAATACGCACAGAAATTCCACAAACAAAATCACAGATCCAAACACCAATCAACAAAACAGAAACCAACATCTCACGATTTCTTATCGAAAAACACACGGACGCACACAAGCAACACCGTCGACAACAACCACGTCGAAATCGATTCCGCTCCAACGCTTCCGCCCCTGCGGCGTACTTCTCCGGAGTTCGAAGATCGATCTCAATTTCAAGTCCAACAAGCCGATCGTGGCGTGGATCGGCTACGATTTCAACACAATCTCGTCAACGTCACCATCTCGCCGTCGTCAACAAAACCCCTAATCCCTCTCCTCTCCTACAGAATAAATTTGTCTCTGATTCTACACGAAACTATGTTCGTCGGATTTTCCGCCTCCACAGCCCTGTTCGCAAGCTCCCATTTCGTGCTTGGATGTAGCTTCACAACGATCGGAGAAGCTCCGTCGTTGGATTTACGTTCCCTGCCTTCAATCCCAGGGACCAAAAATTAAATACACAGACCTAACCATAGGACTCACCGTCTCTGCTTTTCTCTTCTTACTCTAATTTCAATTTTCCTTTTACTCATTGTCTTGGCCATTGAAGAGTGAATTGGGGGAAAGGATGGAGCGGTTTTGCACAGAGAGAGAGAGAGGAGAACGTGGACGGTGGGTGGTTTTGGAGTGAGAGAATGAATTTTTTTGTCCCATATATTTAATTTCAATTAAGGATCTTATTCGCATTTAATATGCCTACAAATACGGTAATAACGGTTCCATCTCAATCCCAGGTAAAATTGAAATTTTTTTGCATGGTTAGACAATTTTATAAATAAAAATATAAAGGGCATATAAGTGTAATAAAAATCATAGTTGGTGGTAAGGGGTACAAATTCCTCATTGTTAATTGAGAATTTGAAGCTATAAGACTTGGAGGCAACACATACATACGCAGGCCCTCCTGGGGGATTTATTTGGGGGAGGCACGTGATATATATATTACACAGCCACCAAAGAAAAAAAAGCACCGGGGATTAATTTTAGAAAGAGTAATGCTATTTAGCCAACTTGAATGACAACTTGGACTATAATTCAAGTGTAAATGCATTATCAAGAAATTGAAAAATAATACATTTACACTTGAGTTGTAACCCAAGTTGTAACTCAAGTGGGATTTATTGCATTAGTCTTTTAGAAAAGGCACGCAACAACAGGAAGCAGGGCCACACGGACCGAGGACAAATAAGAGGAAGTTGGTTAATCGCGGAGGGAGGCCGCACCCGCACACGAGAAGGGTAATTTGATTCTTTATCTATTTATTTATTTATTTATTATGTTAGGCTAATTTTTACGTGGAAGTCGAACCCTACGATTTGATGATTTTTAATTAATTTTTGTGGTTGATATTTTATTATGTTTTTAGAATTGTGCGTATTATTTTGAATGATCAACCATGATGTGTTTGAATTTATTTAGATTGATCACCTAGATAGAATTTTTCATGTCTATTAACGCTAGAAATAGACTTGCAATCCGTAATTGTTGTTGAGTTTAATTCGTAAGTACCAACCGAAAGATGGTAACTATCGGGGATAACACGGCCTAATTAAGTGAACCACACGGTTGTGTTTACTACTTAGACTATCCTATTTTTCTAGATCCTAAAGCCGCTATTGCATAAAATCTAGATAGCGTGTTCCAGACTGTCCAATCAGCCACGTTTAATAGAAGAGAGTCTCTCTCTTAAATATCAGTAAGGAAAATTCGGGTAGAAGAGCGAGTTGCTCTCTAGGACTAGTAATTCCATAAGATAACGAAGTTTGATACTAGAATTGATTAGATGAGTCGGTTGATGGTGTAGACAGAACCATGGACTAGAAGCTTTCTTTTAATTTAATTTATTTTTATTTTCTTATTTAGATTTCATTCTTAGATAGATTAGATTACATTATTCCCGATCGACCATTACTTGACGCTGCTACTAGTTAGTAGAGGTTAGCCGAGGAAAAATATAAATTTTAATTTGCCACGTTGCGATGCGCGATCAATAATAAGGCTTGTTGATATACTGGATAAGTGGCCATATAGTCATATTTTTCAATAAATATATATACTTTTAAATTCAAATTTAATATTTTAAAAAATAATATAAATATCAATATGATATTTCATTGTATAAGCATTTATTTATTAAAAAAATATAACGGGTTGACTTGTTGATTGCCTTTCATATAAAAATTCGGGTTATATTAAATTATAGGCAACAACTATCGATCGGGTGCCTATTGTTTAAAAAACAAAATTCAATTTGGATGGCGGAGCCTTCTTTCCAAGATTGTACTAAAAAGTAGTATCATAAAATTTGTGATGAAAACATGAGGGCTTTTGACCAAAATGATAATTGATAAGTTCTTTGGAAGAATATGCTCAAGAATTAATCTCTTATCGCCTTATTAAACTGACCGCGAGTCTGTGTCCACGACTAGTGCTTATAAAGGCAAACTCACAAGGTACGAAAGTTCCATTTATTATACCAAAACCAAAAAGATATAATAAAATAGTTTATTCAGCACCAACAAATTTGATCATTTTTCAAAAGGACCCTACAAAAGGCTGGATTGTGTGGGCTGCTTTTGCTGTTATTATATAGGTATGCGATGAACTCTATAGAAATCATTTTGTCTTTCATAAGTTGTGTCACTTATATGTGCTTTAAATTAATTTAAATAGAAATTAGTTCACAGTATATCGTGAAAGCATGCGCCTTAAAATGCTTTGTAATGTTTATTTTGTTCCTACAGAAATTCAAATAAAAAATAATTGAATTTGAATGGTGACGCTAATAGTTGTTAGGCAGAAAATAAGCGTTGTTAAAAGTATCCTTTGTGGCATTTATTACTGTACTTTGTAGCAAAAACCAAAGTACAATATGCTAGCCATCCCTTGTATTTACAAAACTAAGATATTAATTAAGCTTATAATAGAATAATATTGTTAAAACTTCTTGATGTAGAGCGTAGTACAATTGGGAGGAATATGAGATACTCTCTCACAAAGTTCACAACGCAGAAATATTATTCATCAAAACTGTCTCGTTCTGTTTTCCCCAAACCAGATAAAAGTAACAAGTGTCCTAACATATCTTGACTACCAAGATAATTATTTATCTACTAATTAAATATTTAAGGAAATAAAATGCACTAAAAGGAAAATATAATAAGAAATAAATAAATTAAACTCGGAGCCGATCGTATTTATTCAGAAAAGCTATTGCGAGCTCGTCTCCATCACTTCCCCTGTCAAGGACACAAGTCACTTTGATGGCACTATGTATGAGCGTAATTGCTACGCTGCACGAGCTTTAGACGGGGAAACTCCTCTTTTTCCTACTCCTTTGGGGCGCTAATAAAGAATTGCAATCTGATTTGTGTTCGTTTTTGTAGTTTCTCTTAGCTTCCCTTCCTCTCCTCGAAGAAGGAACCTCTTCTCCCCACTCCAATATCGACTCAGTGGGGGAGAAATACCTGGCTAAGAAGAAAGAGCTCGAGGCTGCGAATGTTGTCATCACGAAGAATCGCCCCTGTTGTAATCCAAAAGCTAGGGAGATCATGAGACGAACTGCAAAACGCCTTGCATAACAAGAAGGTTGAGGTCTTAGAGGAGAAAGAGGTTGTTGGATTCTATGAGAACGTCATCGATATGCATATCCGAACTTAACGAATTAAATTTTAAACCAGAAGTATCTATAGTTAAGATTAGGACTTACGGTTTAAAATGACTTATTTCAGTTTTAAGGTAAGTTTGAGGGGTAAGTATTAGATTGATAATGAACAAATCTATGAACAGACGGGAGAAAAGAAGAAGGCTGCAGCTTTCTGTAAAACTGAAAAGAAAAGAATGAATGTACAGTGTGAGTTTTGCCCCTTTTATATGTAGGGTTTCCACAATGGTAAAATGATAAATATACAAATGCCTATAGTTGCTTGATGCAACTTTAACACAATTTCTAATAATACAAATGCCTACAGTTGTATTACACAACTTTAACACATAATCTAAAATAAAACAATAACTATAAATCATTATTGTTATTAACCCCGCGCAAGCTTAACATGTATATTATGCATGTTAAGTTTGGATACAAAGTATAGAAAGGCTGGGCCTGGCAAAGCCTTGGTAAGAATATCGGCTGTTTGTTCTTTTGTATCCACATGTTGAAGCTTGATTAACCCTTGTGCAACCTTTTCTCGTACTAAATGACAATCAATCTCTATATGTTTTGTACGTTCATGAGATCAGGAGCAATAGCAATAGCAGATTTATTATCACAAAACAGAGAAACAGGAGCATTATGGGAAATTCTGAGATCAGCAAGAATGTACATAAGCCATTGTATTTCACATGCTGTAGAGGCTAAGGCTCTATATTCTGATTCAGCTGAAGACTTACTAACAGTGGCCTGTTTCTTAGATTTCCAGGAAATTAATGATTGTCCTAAGAAAATTGAGAAACCAGTAATACTTTTTCTAGTGTTAACACATGAAGCCCAATCACTATCAGAAAAAGCATTTAACTGAAGAGTAGAGTTGCTGAAAAATAAAATACCCTTACCTACTGTACCTTTCAGATATCTCAGCACTCTGTAAGCAGCATTAAGGTGGTGAACTGTGGGTTTAGACAAGAATTGACTAAGAGTTTGAATGCTGAAAGCAATATCAGGTCTTGATATTGTTAGATACAATAACCTGCCAATGAGCTTTCTGTATGCAGTAGGTTCAGTGAGTTCATCATTTTTAGTACAAGCTGTCAATTTAACAGTGGGATCCATGGGGGTAGCTGCAGGTTTGCAGCCTAGGAAACCTGTGTCAGTGAGAATATCTAGGGCATATTTTCTCTGACACATGTTTATGCCTTGGTTAGAGTGGGCAAACTCTAATCCAAGAATATATTTCAAAACACCCAAATCTTTTATAGTAAAGCATTTATCAAGGTGGTTTTTGGTGTTTGAAATCTGAGTGAGGCTATTGCCTGTTACTATAATATCATCAACATATACTAACAATGCTGTGAATGATGAATCTGTATGCATAGTGAAAAGGGAACTGTCAGAAACTGACTGAACAAAACCATAAGTAATAAGGCATTGGGTGAGTTTAGAGAACCATTGCCTAGAGGCGTGCTTAAGACCATAGAGGCTTTTGACTAATTTACACACTCTATTGTCATTTTTATCACAGTAACCTGGTGGAGGTTTCATATAGACTTCTTCTTCTAATTCACCATGTAAGAAAGCATTATTAACATCAAGTTGATGAATATGCCACTTTTTGATAGAAGCTATAGCAACCAATAACCTTACTGTGGTAATTTTGGCAACAGGTGAAAAGGTTTCAAAATAGTCTATTCCTTCTTCTTGGGTGTAGCCCTTAGCAACTAGCCTTGCTTTATATCTTTCCACAGTACCATCAGATTTGTATTTAATTTTGAAAACCCATTTGCATCCTATACAATGTTTATCTTTTGGTAATGTGGTCATTTCCCAAGTTTTTGTTTTTTCTAAAGCCTCTATTTCTTTTCTCATAGCTGTTTGCCACTGAGGATC